AAGGAAAAATTCAATCATATACCAAAGTAGATCAAATAGTATAATAAACCTGCCTGTACCCATCACCCTGCTTCAACAATGATCAACTCACAGCCAATCTGTTTCATTTATATTACCATCGACTTCTGCCCCTCCTGTTTTATCTTGAAGCAAACATGTTCGGGAATATTTTGAATGTTGTGTTCTGCTGGTAAAGTGTAGAATGTATGGGGTCAATAGAATAAATAAACATGACTTTGTCAGCAACGTACCTGACAAAACAGAAACAAGAGGAACAGGCTGTGTGGTTTTGACCACAGAAAACTGGCGTGGATTATGGGCATTTGCACGGGCAGGTAATAACGCACCAGGTGGGCAAAATTTCGCTGTGGACAAGGGAATGTGGTGGGTCTGCCTGTCAAGTATCTTGAGTATAACACCTCTGCCTCTTGTCCCCCCACCCCCAGCATGTTCGCCACCAGTGTAATTAAGTCACGTCTTTGTGGATCTATATTGCCTCCTGGGTTTCCCTAAACCATTGCTGCAGGAAAGAAAACCCCGGAGCAGCACTGTCCAGTCAAAATATGTGAGCCACCTGCATAATTTTGCATTTTTTAGTAGTCACAGTGTAAAAAGAAGAAACAAGTGTAATTAATTTTAGCATTATATTTCTCTAACCTAATATATACAAAATGTTCTTATTTTAATACAGTTTCAATATAAACAATTGTTTTCCAGATATTTTACATTATTTCTTTTGTACCAAGTCTTTGAAATGCAGTATATATTTTATAGGTACAACATATCTCAAATTGGACTACCAATATTTTAAGGACTTCCTTCATATTTGTAAGTGATGAGTGGCTTCTGTATTGGACAGAGCCCAGGGTAGGGGAATCAACAGCTACTTTGCAATTTTCTTGAAAATAATGCTACTAAAGATTTCTGGTAAAGTCGAAGTACAGTGTGTATAATGCTGGGCTTCTCCAGGAAAGCCACTGAAATGAACACAAAGAACAATGAAAAGCTTAGACAAGTCCATCTACAAACAAGCAAGTAACTACAACTTCCCAAATCCAGGCTATGAAGAAATGTGGCTGTTCAGATCTTGAGCAAGATTGTAGCAAACAGAAAGGATGTCAGTGGTTCCTGAGAGGTTCTCTGTTTACCACAAGTACGGTAAAGTGTAGAGGCTCTGAACACTTAACATCCTGGTTCTGTTCTTTACAAGCTGTGTGTCTTGGGCAAATTATTTTCACTTCTCTGTGCCTCATATTCCTCATCTATAAAATGGGGATCATAAAATTAAGGTGGTTGTAAGGATTAAATGAAGGAATACAAGTCAAACGCTTAGAACCAGATGCCTGGCCCATGTTAACCTCCATAAATGTTAACCATTGAAAACAAAAACCTGAAAAAAGCAAAGGATTAAGTCATGGGTTATTTGGAAGAAGAGAGTTCCAAAAAGAGACAGGAAGTGTAAAGGCCCTGAGGCAGAAGCCTACCTGGCATATTAAAACCAACCAACCACCCACCAAGGAACCTCTTGTGGCTGAGCAGAGAGTGGAGTGTGGGAGGAGATGGTTCCAAGAGGTAATGGCCACAGAGGGGGACAGTGTAGCTTTACAGGCTATTGTAAGGGCTTTGGTTTTTACTGAATGAGAGGGAAGCCACTGGAAAATTTTGACCAGAGAGAGATAACATCTGACCTACGTTCTCAAATGACTGTTCCAGCTGCTGCACTGCAGATGGGCTGAAGGAGGACAAGGTCAAACACAGAGCACCATTCAGGAGGCTATTCCAACAATCCAGGCAAGAGGTGGGTTGTGGCTTGGATCTGGGGAGGAAGCAGTGAAGTGGGGAGAAGTAGTCAGATTACACAAACGTGCAAAAGTTAGGGACAAAGATGCTCAAGGCAGTGTTGCTTGTAATTGAGATAAACTAGAGTTAACCTAAATGTCCATTAAAAGAAGGCAGGTTAAATAAATTATGGCACATCTTTTTTTTCTAACTTAAAAACTTCTGTAGTGATTGAAAGAATGTGTTATTTTTAAAATTAAAGTCTAAGTGAATAGTAGTCATTTTTAATGTTAGTCATTTCAGCATAGAGGGATATTTGCTGTAGTTTCAACAAAAGCATGTTTTGGGACCATGAAAACATCTTGTTTGGCAATTAAAAATACAAACCTAGCAGCAATGAAATTGGAGTTCCTTATTTAAAAAAGAGTTAGAGTCAAACAAAAATATGCACATGTACCTGCTGAACTAGTGTAACAGTAATTCATGACTGGCCGCTACAAAGCATGGGCTTCTATTCTTTTCCTTTTTAAAATTTTCGGTAAAGTATATATAGTCCAGGAAATGAGGAAACAAGGGCTAGTTTTTACTGAAACTTTAAGTTTGACTTTGCTGTTACAAAGCATCTAAGATCTGAATAGAGTTGTCTAAGGGGTGAAACTGGGAAGTGGATATGTGATTGTGAATTTACATATTGGTCAGGCATCTCTTTGGTGGAGGTTAAAAACTGATCATTTTTTACTCACTCACCACATGCCAGGAAGCACTGTGCCTTGTGTTTTTACAACAATTTCTAATTTTTTCAATGCGTAATCTAATTTCTCAAAATTGTCCAAGGTCATTAGCTAAACAAATGAAGAGCTGAAAGTCATACTCGGATTGTCTCATGCCAAATCCCACCCTCATTCTGCAATCGCACTGTATTCGGTAGGCTTGGCTGAATTGATTTGCGAGGCTTTTCTTAAGAAAGAAAGTGTATCCATTTGGATTATATTCAATTGCTTGCAACAAACCTTAACCAAGAGTGCTGTAAACAAATAAGGGGATTATTTTTCTCACGTAATAAGAAGTCTGGAGCTGGGCAGTCTGCAGTAGGTGTTGCTCATTTTGTGTGTTGCCCTGTGGCCATAAAATGGCTAGTCCCCTTCCAAGTTCCCGGAATAAAACAGAAGGAGAAAAGCGCTGGTGCCCATGTCAGGAGCACAAAAAACCTGCGCAACTTCCTTCACCTCAGTGGCTGGAATCGAGTCACGTGACAGCCCAACAAGGACGTCTGGGAAGGCGAGTGTTTCGGCTCCACGGGTTGCCTCCTTGAACAAAATCTGGGTTCTTTGAGAAAGGAAGGAGGAGGAATGGACTGAGGAGGTAAGAAGGGTGTGCCCCATGAAGAATATCTGATAGATCAAAGATGTTGGGGGAGAAACAGCTGCCTCAGAAGTACCACTGGATCAAGTGGATTCTAAGGACTTTGGGCGCCACTGCTGATGTATTTTGCTGCAAGAGGCACGGAAGGTAGTCTTTGTTTTAAGCAGCCCTGGGCTCAGCTTCAATTCTATTATTATGGATGTGTTACTGGGAAAAGGGAAGTAAGAATTACCTCAGTTCTTAGTCACCCCCCCCAAAAAAAGAATTTTGAACGAGAGACAGAAACCATGATATAAGCAAGATTTTTATTAGTAAAGTAAAAAAGTAGTAAAAGATAGTACACTTTCGAGAATTGGGAGCGGGCCAATCCAAGAGAGGAAAAATGGCGCCGCTCCTTTGTTTTTCCGTCTTATATCCTGACTTAGAGCGTTTTTTTGTGATTGATTGATTAACAGCTCAGGTTCTTTGAGTGATCAAGCTGATTGACAGCTCAGGTTCCTTGTGCTCAGACTGACAGCTCAGGTTCCTTGTGTGTTCTGGGTTGTTCCTTTCCCCTCCCTCTCCCCCTGCCCAGTGCTCATTTCTATCTGACTGCGTAACAGATGGAGGAGAGAATAGATATTGGGGAACAAGGAAAGGCTCTTCCCCAGTCCCTCTACCAGCCCCTGAAACTGATTTCCCTTCAGGAAAGAGTCTGGTATGCACAGCCATATATATGCTCTGAATCTGTTCTAGACAGGAGGGGTCTGAGAGCAGTTGTTGACACAGGCTTTGGGATACAGAGTAGTGGGCACCTGAGGATACTTGAGGATGCTGAGAACATTTGAAAACAATTCATTCTCCTAGATTGGCCTGGAAAGAATCATTAAGAGTGCAGGCTAGCTCTTCAGTGTCACCTCCTCCCAGCCCTGTCACTAGCAAGGCACCTCATCTTCCTAGTTCTCCTTTTCCTCTTCTTTAAAGAGGAGTAATAACCCTACCGTGTAGCTTGAACTGATGCACGTCCAGCTCCTGTTTTATACTATACACTCCACAGATGGCAGCTGTTATTTTTGATAGGAGCGTGTTCTGGCCCATAGGACTCCTGCTCTAACTCAGCTCAGATCCTTTCCTCAGCTATATCGACTCATGTGTTATTTCTCTATCTGAACATGCACTCTGCCTAGCTTTCAGATTCTGGCTTTGCTCCTGGTGGAATCTTGGCTGAAATACTTCACATCCTGGTAAATCCTGTAGTCTTTAGGACTCAGCACACCTCTCCCTTTCTCCAGAAGTTTCTCTCTGACCTCCTCAAGTTAGATCATGCCGCTCCTGGGCCCTCTGACAGTCCACACTTAACTTCTATCACTGTTCAGTTTTACGCCCTTGGGCTGGTTTGGTACATTACTTGTAAGACCAGTAAAGGCATTCTGGGAGGTTAAGAAAGGCCCAGGCCACTCCCCTTGTACCAGGCTCTTCAAGAAAAGGAGGAAGAGGAAATTGTGCTAAGTTTTAAATGTTTAAATAATTGGCAAGTCATAGGTGCTCAACAAATATTTGTTGAATAAATACAACAAATTAGTACTGTTGACATAAAAAAGGCATTGCAATATAAGTGTGTTATCTGCAGATACGCTACTTGCAGATTTTTATTTTAAAACGTGAATTCATACTGCACTACAGGCGGTTTAGTGCACGGATCAAGTTCTGTCTCCATGTGTGTACCCTCATCTGAAGACAACTGCCAGTGGCCCCCTGCCTACCCACTGGGGAGATGCTAGCTCCTTGGTCAGGGGTGGGGGTGGGGGTGTCTCAATTCTCGGCCTGCGGACAGGGGTCTCACCAAGTGCCGGGGGACCC